TCAGCCTGTAATCCCAGTACCTTGGGAGGCTGAGGCAAGTGGATTGCCTGAACTCAGGGGTTTGGCACCAGACTGGGCAACTTGGTGAGACCTTATCTTTACAATAAATTTAAAAAATTAGCCGGACAGCTGGGCTCGGTGGCTCAGCCTGTAATCCCGCGCCTTTGGGAGGCTGAGGTGAGTGGATTGCCTGAGCCCGCGGGTTCGAGACCCGCCTGGGCAGCGAGACCTCATCTCTACAATAAATCAAAAAATCAGCCGGGTGTGGTAGCGCACGCCTGTAATTCCGGCTACTGGGAAGGCTGAGGCGGAAGGATCGCCGGAGCCCAGCAGGTCGAGGCTGCGGTGGCCGGGAGCGGCCACTGCACTCCAGTCTGGGTGACAGAGTGAGACTTCAGCTCAAAAAAAAAAAAAAAAAAAATTAGCCGGACATGGTGGTGGATGGAGATCTGGCCAAGTTGCCCAGGCTGGTCTCAAATTCCTGAGCCCAGGCAATCCTCTCGCCTCGCCCTCCCAAAGTGCTGGGATGACAGGTTTGAGCCATCGTACCCAGCCCGGAGCGTGATTTCTTTCATTCGTACCTGATTTCTCTCCTGAAGGCCCCCATGTGTCAGGTTCTATGTGCTGTGAGGCTGGGGACCCAGAAGTGTGTCTTTGAGGGAAGACACACAGGACACAGTCCTTCTCTACTGAGAGCTATGCTCTAACAGATGTGGCACAGGGCACTGTGAGTGCACCGACCCAGCCTGGGGGATCAGGGCAGGCTTCCTGGAGGAGGAGAGCCCTGCATTTTAGGTAGTGCCTGCTCCTTCTGAAGTATCCGTCACCTGTCTCTCCTGTCCATAGCTCTAGCTCCATCACTGTCTCTACCTCTGACCAGTTTCCTGCTTTTCTCATTGCTTCTCCCCACTCCTGGGTTGGCTGTCACAAAAAACTACCACAAACATGGTGGCTTAGAACAGAAATTTATTGTCTCACAGTTTCAAAGGCCGGAAGTCCAAAATCAAGGTGCTGGCACGGCTATACACCCTGCAAGTCTCCAGGGCACAATCCGTTTCACGCATCTCCAGCTTCTGGTGGCTTCTGGCATTCTTTGGCTTGTGACCACATACTCGAACCTCTGTGCCTGTCTTCACATGGTCTTCTCCTGTCTCGAATCTCCCTACAACCTTGTCTTTTTTTTTTTTTTTTTTTTTGAGTCGGAGTCTCACTCTGTCGCCCAGGCTGGAGTGCAGTGGCACACTCATGGCCACCACAGTCTCGACCTGCTGGGCTCAGGTGATCCTTCCACCTGAGCCTTCCAAGTAGCTGGGAATACAGGTGTGTGCCACCATGCCCGGCTAATTTTTTTGATTTATTTGATTCTCACCAAATTTCCCAGGCTGGTCTCGAATCCCTGGGCTCAGGCAGTCCTCTCGCCTCAGGCTCCCAAAGTGCCAAAGCGCTAGAATTACAGGGGTGAGCCGCTGTGCCCAGCTTGGTTTTTTCTTTTTTCTTTTTTTTTTTTAGTAGAGACAGATTTGCTATGTTGTCCAGGCTGGTCTTGACCTCCTGGCTTCAAGCAATCCTTCCACCTCAGACTCCCAAAGTGCTTGGATTACAAAAGTGAGCCAATGCACCCAGCCTGCACTTAACTCAATTACATCTGCAAAGAAACCTTGTGCCAGATAAGCGTTCGAGGTGGACATCTTTTGGGGCAGATGGCACCATTCAACCCACTAGATCTTGGGTGAGTCACTTCCCTCTCTGAGCCTCAGTCTTCTATCTGTGGAATTGGGCTGATAGTAACGCCCATCTCATGGAGACCTAAAATTAAGTCTACAGAGTTTGAGGCCAGCCCCAGTCCCAGAAAACTCTCAGTTTGGGGCAGCTGTCATGTCACTGATTTATTTCTTTGTCAGAGCTGGGTCTTTCTGTTGTTTTTTTCCTGGCAGTGGCCCTGCTTCTCAGAGCATATGTCTCCGTCATGTTTTCTCCATGTCTCTCTGTTTTGCTTCCCCCCTTCTCCTCCCCACTAAGTTCCACCATTTCTTTACTGTATAACTCTGGGCAAGTCACTTATACCCTCGAGACTTTGTTTCCTCATCTGTAAAATGGAACAATAACAGCCTCTATTTCCTAGAACAGCTGTGAGAATTACATGAATATTACAGAACGTACTCAGAACCTTGTCAGGTATGCAGTAGGTGCTTTATTGTTGTGGCTATTTTTTTTTCCTCCAAGTCAGAGTCTCACTCTGTTGCCCAGGCTGGAGTGCAGAGGCATGATCATGGCTCACCACAGCCTCAACCTCCTGGGCTCAGACAATCCTCCCATCTCAGCCTCCCAAATAGCTGGGACTAGAGGTGCGCACCACCATGCCTTTCTGATTTGTGTGTGTGTGTGTGTGTGTGTGTGTGTGTGTGTGTGTGTGTGTGTGTAGAGATGGGAGTATTACTGTGTTGCCCAGGCTTGTCTCAAACTCCTGGGCTTAAGCAATCCTCCTGTCTTGGCCTCCCAAAACACTGAGATTACAAGCGTGAGGCCCCATGACCGCTAGTTGTGACTATTCTTATTTTTGCTGCTGTTCTCAGTATGTTGTCTGTTTTCTTGTCTGCATCGCTCTGTCTTTTCAAGTGTCTCTGGATACATGTCTGCGGTTCTGAAGGAGTCCACACCGACCTCTAAGCCTCCCGGGTCTTTAAGTGTCTGCTCCTCCCCACTACTCTTTCTTCCTCTCCCCACCTGTGATGGTTTTAAAATAAGTCCCTTCCCTGAGTGTGGGGGCTCATGCCTATAATCCCAGCACTCTAGGAGGCTGAGGTGAGAGGATTGCCTGAGCCCATGGTTTGAGACCAGCCTGGGCAACTTGATGAAACCTCATCTCTACAATAAATCAAAAATCAGCTGGACATGGTAGCGCATGCCTGTAGTTCCAGCTACTTGGAAGGCTGAGGTGGAGGGTTTACCTAAGCCCAGAAGGTCGAGGCTGCAGTGGTCAGGAGTCTGCCACTGCCCTCCAGCCTGGGCAACAGAGTGAGACTCCAACTCAATAAAATAAAATAAGTCCCCGAATTCTTTGAAATCCTCCCTTGGAGGGGGGAACCTAATTTTTTCCCTTTGAATGTGAGCTAGACTTAGTGACTCATTTGGATAAATAGATAATGCTGTGTGACTTCAGGGGACCAAGTCATAAAAGGCCTCAGATGACTGCAGCCCTGGCCAGCAGCCTCATGGCTCCCTCCTGAGGGACCCAGACCCAGAACCAGCCAATTAAGCCACTCCCAAGTTCCCAGCCCTCAGACATTGTGAGACAATAAATGTCTGTTGTCTCACACCTCTAAGTTTTAGGGTAGTTATGTAATAATGTATAATTAATACATTTCTCTCTTTCTTTTTTTTTTTTGAGTCAGAGTCTCACTCTGTCACTCACTGCCAGGCTGGAGTGCAGTGGCACACTCATGGTCACCCCAGCGTTGAACTGGTGGGCTCAGACTGTGCTTCTGCCTCAGTCTCCTGAATAGCTGGAACTACAGGCATGCACCACCACGCCCAGCTAATTTTTTTATTTATTGTAGAGATGAGGTCTCACCAAATTGCCCAGGCTGGTCTCGAACCCATGGTCTCAGGCAGTCCTCTCACTTCGACCTCCCAAAGTGCTGGGATTATAGGCGTGAGCCACCACACCCAGACTCATTTTAGATTTTTAGAGATGAAGTCTCACTATGTTACTCAGGCTAGTCTCGAACTCCTTGGCTCAAGCTATCCTCCCAATTCAGCCTCTCAATGTACTGGGATTACAGGCGTGAGCCACTGTGCCCTGCCTGTCTATGTCTTTCTGATTCCTTTCTATTCTCTCCCGTTTGGTCGGTTGGTCTGTTTCTGGGCCTCTCCCCCTCTATCTGGGGCTTCCTACCTCTATCCATCTGTTCCTCTCTGTTGATGTCTCTCTCTGCACGAGTGTCTCTATTTATAGATGTGCATGGTGTGTCTGTCCCCAGGTCTCTCTGTCCCTAGCTCTGTGTGTGTTGTTTCTGTGTCTCTCAATCTCTCTGTATCTCTCTCCGCCTGTATTGCTGTACATGTGTCTCTTCTATGTCTGTCTCTCTTTTTAATTTTTAAAATAGAGATAGGGTCTTGCTACATTGCCCAGGCTGGTCTAGAACTCCTGGCCACAAGCCATCCTCCCGCCTCAGCCTCCCAAACCTGGGATTACAGGCGAGATCCACTGCGCCCAGCCTTCTCTGCCTCTCTTTACCATGCGGTGTCCGTCTCACGGTCTTTGGATCCGTTTCTGTCTCTCCCCCCTTCTCCTGTGTGTCCCCAGGTCTCTCTGCTTCTCCCTCTAAACGTGTCTCTGCCTGGCTGTGCGTCTCTGTAGGCCTTTCTCTGCCTCTGACTGCGGCTCTCACTCGCGTTCCCTCGCCCTATCGCTCCCTCCTCTACCTGGCCTCCTGTGCTCGAGTCTCCAACCCGTCGTCCCCCTCCGCCAGGCCTCTGGGCCTCCACCTCGGGCTGCCTTCCCTCGCCGGCCTCCGCGGCCGGGATCCTCCCCTCCAGCTCTCTCCTCCTCCCCGCCCTCCCGCTCCCTCGCCAGGTCTCTGCCTCCCCCTCCCGGTCAGCGGCCCTCACTGCAGCCCGGTCTCCCAGGGGATCCCCCGGCCG